CCCCCCCGACAAACACTGTTACATTGGGTGTTAGGTTCCTACGTAGGAATTGTGGGGGACACAGATGTCCGATCTATAGCAGGCGCCAGCGAATATAGAAAATACAGGAGGAAAAGCATATGTAGAAGATGCAGGAGGAAAAGGTAAATATACTAGAGACAGTAGATGTGAAATACCTAGGAAACTTAGATTTTTAAAAATTTGAATTTAGGGGCCAGCAGATGGTGTGGAGGTTACGGTGCTGGATCCCACATGACCAAGTCCACAGTTCAAGTCCCAGACCTGTTGGCTTGAAAATCGCGCCAGGTACATTTACCAGAAGAGAATGAAGGAGAGGGGATTGCGGTGTGGCCGTCCCCGAGAAGTGTGATTTCTAAAATTCATACATACAGAGTTGTTTTTTTTTTGTTTTTTTTTTTTTTAAGATACCTTGTAGAAAAGACAAATTGATGTCAGATCAGTATAGGGAATTCTCTAACAACCACATTTGTCCCGAGTTAAAGCCAGCTTCTTTGGGAGATAGTGAACTGTATATGTTTTTAGTATATTTTTTTTTATTTAATTTCTTTTTTCTTTTTTGGAGAGGTTTTTGCTATAGGGTGCGTGCGCTCGCCAGATAGACAGAGAGACAGAAAGTGAGAAATCACCCCCCAGGGGGGATGGCCACGCCGCAATCCCTTCTCCTCCATTCTCTTGGGTCTTGGGCACGCACGTACACACGCCTGGCGTGAGTTTAAGCCACTGGGTCTGGGATGCGAACCGTGGTCAACTACATGGGAGTCCAGCAACATAGCGATTACACTAACTGCTGATCCCTATTTAATTGTTTTCTAATGTGAGACTTTTTTTTTTTTTTTAAGGGTATTGTACTCTCCAGAAGGACAGAGAGACAGAGAGACAGAAAGCGAGAAATCACCCCCGGAAGGGATGGCCACACCTCAATCCCTTCTCCTCCATTCTCCTCTTGGGATCTTGGCACGCACGCACACACTCCTGGTGTGAGTTTAAGCCATCGGGTCTAGGACTTGAACTGCGGTCAACTACATGGGAGTCCAGTAACATAGCCATTACACCAACTTTGAAGGTCCCGAGAAATTTTTTTTTTTTTTTTTTTTTGTTATAGGGCACATGAGCTTGCCGGGTGGGAGGAATTATCCCCTAAGGCTGACATGACGTGATACAAATAAACAAATGACCACACTGTAATCCCCTCTCCATTCTCCTCGTGGGGGTTTGGGCACACACATGTCCATCTTGCGTTTTGAGCTTTTTGAGCTGCTGGGTTTGGGACTCGAACCACACAGTTGGCTGGATAGGATCCAGCTGCCTTACCACCTTCTGGCCCCAGTATATGATTGTATGGTAGGAAATTCATCTGCTAGATGTCGAGAGAATTTAGGTGTTGTTAAATCACCTAACTTCCATCTATACTCTTTTTTTTTGAAAGATGGGGTCTCACTATTTACTACTCTCGTACCTCAACTGAATATCTGGGGTACAGGTGTGCACTGCACCTGTCTGTCAGGTCTGTGGCGTCAAACCTGGGCCTCAGGCCCGGGCTCCGGGGCAGCCCCAGCCTCCGACATGTGCAGACGACGTGCCTGGGCTGCCTTCGGGCTATGAGAGACAGATGTGGTAGTTCCTCATTTCAGTGATACCATCATTTTTCATTGATTAAAACTTCTATCTCTACATATGTAAGGTTGGACAGAATAGTTCATTTATGGTTTATTTTAATTTTATTTCTTCTTTTAGGGAGATTTTTGCTATAGGAGCCTGTGTGCTCGCTGGAGAGGTAGAGACAGAGAGACAGAAAATGAGAAGTCACTCCCCAGGGGAATGGCCACACCGCAGTCCCTTCTCCTCCATTCTCCGCCTGGGATCTTGGGCACGCGTGCACACAAAGTCATCATGAATTTAAAGTCTCCAGGTGTGGGACTTGAACTGCAGTTGACTACATAGGATTCCAGTGACATAACCATTATGGCGGCTGCTGGTACCAGATGTATGTTTAGTTTGTATAAAGTATGACTCTATTTTTTTACCAGTGACCAAGATAAGTTCTTCTTAATACAGGCTAAATTTAAGTATTATAGCTATAGATTCTGTAACTTTCTAAAGAAACATGTCATTGGAAAATGCATACATACTTTTTAATATAAACTTTAGTTTAATATCTTACCTGTGGGAAATGTGATGTTGTTTACAGTAAGATGGCTTGCAAAATATCAGAGTTCTTTTTTACTTTTTTTTTTTTGGAGAGGTTTTTTCACTATAGGGCACGTGCACTCACCAGACAGACAGAGAGAGACATAGAGACAGAAAGCGAGAAATCACCCCCCAGGGGGATGGCCACGCCGCAAATCCCTTCTCCTCCATTCTCCTCTCGGGATCTTGGGCACGCACGTACACGCGCCTGGCGTGAGTTTTAAGCCACCGGGTCCTGGACGCGAACCGCGGTCGACTACGTGGGAGTCCAGTGACATAGCCATTATGCTAACTGCTGGTTCCCAACTTTTTTTTTTCTTTTGAGAGAGAGGTTTTTGATATACGGCACGTGTGCTCGCTAGACAGAGAGAGACAGAGAGATAGAAAGCGAGAAATCACCCCCCAGGGGGGTGGCCACACGGCAATCCCTTCTCCTCCATTCTCCTCTCGGGATCTTGGGCACGCACGTACACGCGCCTGGCGTGAGTTTTAAGCCACCGGGTCCTGGACGCGAACCGCGGTCGACTACGTGGGAGTCCAGTGACATAGCCATTATGCTAACTGCTGGTCTCCAAAATGTCAGAATTCTTAACAAATTTTACAGGGGCCCATTTAGAACATGAGATGTTTACTGGAATATAAATGTAAAGGATGTGCATACATAAACCTCTGCATATCTGTACTCTACTACACAGTTGTAATTGGGCCATTTCAGCACAGATATAAAAGGTGCTGATCTTTCTTTCCGTCACCCCCTTTAGGATGTGTTTAGCTTTCAAGTATCTCCTAACATGAGCCCTATCAAAGTAAATGAGCTCGCGATCCAGAAACGCTTGACTATTCACGGGAAGGAGGACGAGGCGAGCCCCTGTGACTATGTGCTGCAGGTCAGTGGGAGAGTGGAGTACGTGTTCGGCGATCACCCGCTGATCCAGTTCCAGGTACGTGTTAGCTGTGTGCCAGAGCAGGTTCGTGTGTGCGTTTCATTTTTATCTGTGATAGAAAAACTTTGTGCCCCTAGTGGAACATTGAGAAGCCACAGGAAATTCTATAGAGAGAATCAAATAGTCGGTATTCACAACCCTACCTACCTTTGAGATTAGCCTTGTTACTATGTGGGCATTTTTTGGGGACCAGCAGTCAGCGTAATGGCTATGTCGCTGGACTCCCATAGTCGACCGCGATTTGAGCTCCAGACCTGGCTGCTTAAACTCACGCCGGGCGCGTGTGCGTGCGTGCCCAAGATCCCGAGAGGAGAATGAAGGAGAAGGGATTGCGGCGTGGCCATCCCCCCTGGGGGGTGATTTCTCGCTTTCTGTCTCTCTGTCTTTCTGGTGAGCGCACATGCC